GGGATCAATACAAACAAATATGCTTCAAAACAACCCAACATAGTGAAACCAACCCGGCATATTTTTAAAGCTAATTGGATGAAAATAGAAGGAAACTGTAGTTCTGGTTATTAATATTCACACCTTTAACATCAAAGCAAATTTTCAAGCTATTTGTAGGGACTCACTGGGGTTAACTGACATCAATGAAAAATAAAAGCGTGGATGATTACTAAATGGTCTATAATTATTCACATCACTTGATTTCCAATTATTTAATGAACTAGTCTCTCTTTCATTTCACATTTTTTTAAAGAAATCAGATCAAATACAAAAATGCCCCAAACTCAAAATAAAACTTTGAAATCTCTGCATAAATCAGAGTTTCTTGTGTCCCATTATATTTTCTCTACAATTAAGATGAGGCCTCAGTAGGATAATGTAGCATTTGGGAAAAAAGATGCAAGCCAAGAAACCAGCCCCAGAGGCCAAGATGGAGAAGATCTCCACGGCCACCATGGACTTCCCTTTGGTGCTCAAGTAGGTGGGGAGGAAAGTGACCAGATTAAGAAATGGTTATGCCAATATATCTGGATGGCCCCCAGTTAGAAAAAGCCCCTTTTAATGTCTCATAATGTGGAACCCTTTCTGTTGGGGATTCTCCAAAGAAGCTTGCTTCACTCACCTAGAAGTGCCCAGGATTAACCTGAGATGGGTGGGAAGCCAGACTTGATGAGACAAAAGACTACGTGAAATGTAATGCAAAGCATGAAGGATGGTGTTACAGATCATCCGAATAATGAGACAGGAAGATGAATTTAGTCCAGCCATAAAGTAGAAGACCCTATTTTATGCTTACAGTAGTGGCCAAAATTGTGGAAACCTTTTGGGAAAAGTCTATTTTCTAAAACTAGCTAATAACACCATTTTTGGGGGGTGGGGGAGCAGTACCATAAAATTATATATCAATGGAAAGATAATTTAATCAAGAATGTAATGCAACAACTTTTATGAAGGATTTGCTATTAGAATAGCAGTTACAGTATAAAGACGAAAAGTGAAACACATAGAGAAAACGAGATATACAAAAACTATCACCACGTCAGTTAATACTCAGTTGGGTAACCTTTTGCATGAATTACGGCCTTACAACGTCTTCCCATGGAGTGAACCAAGTCTTTTAGTTCTGCAGCTGTTCTAATGTGAAACCAAGATTGAAGGATGGCTTCTATTAACTGGGTTTTATTGCTGGGTCGCTTCTGATTAACAAGTTTCTTTAGTCAGCTCCATAGATTTTCCATTGGGTTAAGGTCTGGGCTATTCCCAGGTCATTCCAGGAGTGGAATAGGATTATCTTGAAACTCCAAAAAAAAACAAAAACAAAAACAAAAAAAACAAAACAAAACCTGGTGTTATTAGCCATCAAATCTCACAAATACACTTTTCCCAAAAGGTTTCCACAATTTTGGCCACTATTGTAAATTCAGCCAAACTAGTTTCTTGCAATATGTACATTGCCAAAAGGCTGACTCTTTATTCAATGTGACAAGCTGTTCTTCACCACTGAAGAGTCAGAGAGATTGAAAAGGGAATTAGAGGGAGATTGAATCATCAAGGAGAATCAATGTATCCTAACTAGGAAAGCCCTACATCAACAGAGGCTGGGTGGGATTAAATCTGCCCTATTCCTAAAGACTGCCCTTTCCACATTGCCCTGACAAAAAACAACAATCAAAGGAAACACTTACAAAGAAAGGTTATCCCAAGTAGGAGGATCAAGTAAAGGAAGTGGTATGACCACAGGAATAGAGAGAGGCAGGTTCCCACCGATGATGAGATCTCCACATCTGTAATAGACTTTTTTGCACTAGGAAAGGTCATCTCCAGAAGAAGTTTGGCCTCAGGTCCATCTGGATGGCTGTAGGCAAAGTCCATAGCAACATGAAAAGCCAACTCATTGTCCCCAGAAAGAGACCTTCTTCCTAGACAAAAGTCAACGGAGGATGATGTAGGGAGTTGTGGTGCTCTGATGACTTCAGAGGGTTCAAGTAGGGTTTTAAGTCTTCAAGATAACCATTGATCTCAGCTCCAGCTCTAAAGGGACCCAGCCATATTATTCAGAGCATGCTAAATAAATATATTTTGACCAGACACAAACTTCTTTATGCTCAGGAAGGCGGGGGGGATAATCTCTGGAATTCTACTGAGATGAAGTAAGAATTACTAGTGTTTGGTTAATCTTAGGAGAGAGAAATGTCCACATTATTTCCATAACCCTGGAGTCTGTGGCATTTGGCATGAAGAAAGCTTATTTGCGAAACCACAATTCTGTGTCTCTTTCTGTGAACTCTGATTGGAGAGTCATGCAACTGTAGAGTTGGAAGAGAACTTGGGAGGGTCACTTAATCCGATCCCCTTAAAGTAGGACATACACAGGGCAAACTCTTTTAAATCTCTGAGATCTCTTTGGAATTAATTGTTTTTGCTGCCACCACCAAACTTTTTTAGATTTAGGAACTCTTTGAGATTTCCTGGAACAATTCCCCATAGCCTTTATCCTAGTGGTATTTCCCAAATGGACCAGTAGACATGTGTTTTAACTATGAGGGACCTAGATGGTTTTTAATTAACACACCCTTTCTTCTTTTCTTTATGATTCTGTATTAGACTATATTCAGTCTAACCATTATTTTTGTCAGCTCTACCTGGCTTGGCTGGGGCCTTACCTGCCATTAAAAGAAGAAGTGGGAAGGATGACAGGGGGAGGAAGGGGAGGAAGGATGAAAGGGGGAAAGATGAAAGGGCAATAAAGTTTTGTGTGTACATGATAGGAAATTTGAAGGAGAGAATGATAGGAGAGAAGGACCAGAGTAACTGGATCATGTTTGTACCCATCCATCCCATGGCCAGGCACCCTGAGATATGTGCAGATTACTCCCAAACATCTCAGAGTTCTCAAAACATCTTGGCGAGCTCCAGTTGGCTGGAAATGGACTGGTCATGGGGGGGAGGGATGGGCTAGGGGAAACCTATACCTTATTTTTTATCCAATGAGTGCAATGATTTCAGAGCTGGCTTGAATTTACTGCAACCAACACTCTTAAGAAAAGAACCCTTTGCTTTAATCAAATGGAGTCAAAGGCTTTTCTTTTTATATTTCAAAACCAATCAATTTCAGTAAGGCATTTGACAAAGTAGACCACAATCTACTTCTTGGTAAGCTAGAAAAATGTGGACTAGATGACATCACCATCGGATGGATTTGTAGATGGCTGACAAACTGTACTCAATGAGTAGTCCTTACTGGTACTACATCCACATGGAGAGAAGTTCTTTCCTTCCTTCCTTCCTTCCTTCCTTCCTTCCTTCCTTCCTTCCTTCCTTCCTTCCTTCCTTCCTTCCTTCCTTCCTTCCAAGTGATAGTCCCAATGAAATCAAAACTCTGAGGCCTGGAGTTTCCTCAAAGTAAGAATTTATTAGGAATGCCATATTGGCACAGCTGGTGAAAACCTGACTCCGAAGGACCTGAGGTTTTCCCCACCCAAATCAAAACCCAAAGTTCTTGCCCCCAGGTCACACGTCCATCACATGTGTTCTGACCCAGCCTTCGCAGAAGCAAGAAACAGACTCCTTGCAAAGGAAAAAAACACTCTTTATTTACACCTTGTGAATTAACTGCATTCACCAACAGAAAGTCCAGGCAAGACTCCTGCAAGGAGTTAACTGCAGCAATAGTCCTTATCAGCCCATTATGATAATTGTAAGGCTGTGAACCAGTGGTGGGTTCCTCCCGGTTCGGCCCAGTTCCGCCGAGCCAGTAGCGGTGATGATATGATGTCACCAAACCAGTTCTGCCCCCCCCCCGCGTTATTCTTACCTTTTATTTGGCCCCACCCCCAATCTATTGCTGCCTCCTGAGTCCCAGCTGATGGGCTATCAGGGAAAAACTGTTTAAACTCTTGCCGGGGGCTTCAAAGGGCCGCCCTACAGCTGATCAGTGGTAAAAGGCAGTTTGGTGGTAGACCAGTGCCTCCAAAAACAACTGAGTAGACCGGTGCCTGCAAAAATAAATGGGTAGACCGGTACAGCTCTGCAAGCAGTTAAAAGCCTGGTAGACCAGTACCTCTGGTAAATCCTAAAGAATTGTCACATGACCATCAAGCCACACCCACAAAATAAGCCACACCCACAGAACCAGTAGTACAAAATTTTAGAACCCACCCCTGTGGTGAATTCTCAGCTGAAAGGCTGCAAATTAAGTCAGAGAAATAAACAAACCTCAGTTCTGGCAAGGCAGTCTTTGTCACATGAAACACAATGAGCAAAATCTCCAAAAATGCGAACTGTTGCTTCCTACGACCACCACTCCCCTTTCCTTCTGTTTATTCCCCAGTCAGGGAGGAGCCATTCAGCGTCCACATTTGTTTTGCTTCCCGAGTTGACTCCTTGCCCTCCGTTGTTCACCTCTCCTATCTGGTCTGCATATACATGCATCTGGAACAGGCCCCAGCTGTTCTTTCTCCTCACTCTTCTCAGCCTCCAAAGCCAGCTGCTTCTCTGGTATCTGGGAAATGCCAGACAGCCCTGGCTCTGTCTCTGTGTCCGACGCTGAGCATCCATCAGAACTTACCCCAGGCTCCAGAACTGGCCCAAGTTATTCTACAACCTCCTCATCATCCGAGTCTGCAGTCAGCTCTGCTGGCTGCTGGTAGGCCACAATAAAATGGTCCAATCAGGTCACAGTCCTCCTTCAGTTGCCTTTGACCTAAGCCTTCCAAACACCTGGGCATCCTTGGTTCTCACAGGAAATTGTATTTTGGCTACAATTCTCCCAGTTATCTCTATCTCCCCGCTTACGTTCCCACAGCAGCAACCAGCTTTTCTGTGGCAGCCCTGAAGATTTCCAAAATGGTTCCAGGGCTGACACCTTCCTTCCTTCTTTCCTACCACCTACCTACCTACCTACCCACATTCCTTCTTTATAATATTTGGAAAATATCCATCAATATCGATTACACATGATCTTGTTTATTAACAAAGTATGTTTCTCAATTAAGTTAATAGAGAATAAAACAATACAGCTCATTTCAATGTTAGAATTAAAAAAAACCCCTCTAATAGTCAATTGAAAGAAAAAGTCAGTAGGAAATTCAGTGAAGCCTCAGGAAGTGGAAAGAAACAAGCTTAAAAACACTGAGAGTGAAACAAACCCAATATATTCTTAAATATATATTTTGATTAAAATTAATAAAATGGGAAACTATCATTTTGGAAACTAATATCCAGATATACACTATCAATGTTTATTATCAAGTTGATCTTTGGGACAACTAGCATTAATGAAAAAAGGGGGTGATTGTTGCAGATTAACAGACATTCTGAGATTACTCACATCACTTGATTTCCAATTGTTTAAGGGACAAGTCCTCCATCATTTCCTCTTTTTTAAAGAAATGAGATGAATTTGAAAAATGTCCAAAATCAAAATGAAATCTCATAATCCCTGCGTAAATGAGGGTGGAATGAGGCATTTTAATGGGTTTTTATGTTGTGATTTTTAATGTTGTAATCCAGCTGGAGTCACCTGTGTGTAGGTTGGGTATCATTTTAAATGTTTCATATTTATAATCAGAGATTATAATCAGAGATCCTTGTGCCTCATTATATTCTCTCTACAATTGAGATTGGGTTTAAATAGGATAATGTAGCATTTGGGGAAAAAGATGCAAGCCAAGAGACCAGCCCCAGAGGCCAAGATGGAGAAGATCTCCACGGCCACCATGGACTTCCCTTTGGTGCTCAGGTAAGTGGGGAGGAAGGTGATCCAAACACTGCAAAAGACCAGCATGCTGAAAGTAATGAACTTGGCTTCATTAAAGCTGTCAGGCAATTTCCTAGCCAAAAAGGCTACAGAGAAACTGATGAGGGCCAGAACACCCAGGTAGATGAGAACAACATAAAACATTAAAGCTGAACCTTCATTACATTCCAAGATGGCCTCTCCTACTAAAGAGTGGAAGTCAAAGTTGGGCAATGGAGGGGAGGTGACCAGCCAGGTGGCACAAAGAAGTACTTGGACCAGGGGACAGGCTATGACAATGGAGTTCGTCAGAGGTTTTCCTAAGAGTTTCCTTGTCTTGTTCCCTGGCTTGGTGGCCATGAAGGCCAAAACCACCATGACAGTTTTTGCCAAGACCGAGGAAACTGCAAGGGAAAAGAGAATGGCAAAGGCAGTTTGTCGGAAGAGACAGGTGAGCTTCCTGGGTTTTCCAATAAAGAGGAAGGAGCAGAGGAAGCAGAGCAGGAGGGAGACCAGGAGGACGTAGGTGAGATCTCGGTTGTTGGCCTTAACAATTGGTGTGTTGTGATTTTTATGGAAAATCACCAGAACTGCAGATGTGGTCAGAGAGAGGAAAAGAGCAATAGATGCTAAAGAGTATCCCAGGGTCTCTTCATATGCTAGGAAGTGGATCTTCTTGGCAATGCAGTGGTTCTTTACATTGTTGGGATATTGGTTTTCTGGGCAGGGGTCACAGCGAGCTGCATCTGAAAACAAGAGTTGGTGTGAATTTCATGGTGAATCAACAAGGGCAAATCATCCATCCATATTGACAATGCTGGGAATGTCAGCTTTGGAAGCCATATTAGGCCGGAAGCTTCCATGCTACCACCTTCTCATGTGTGGGAAAGTAGGAGGGGGGGGGGCTTAGTAGAGGGGTTGTCTTAGACATAAAAGCATTCTTCTGTCGGTCAAGGTCAGGGTGATCCTGCATCTGGAGAAGGAGTGGTCGGAGTGATGTCTCAAGATGAGATGGTGGTAGATTGGAGCATGTGATCGATTGAGGATTGAGGGGATGGTTTGAGGGTTTTTGATTTACTGAGGGAAAACCCGGACCTTTTAGCTTTGGGTTTTCCCAGATGTGCCAGTTTATCTATTCTTGTAAATAGAACTTTGAAAATGCTTCTCAGAGTCTTTACTTGGAGCTGGGGGGTTTTCTGGAATGCTGACAGGGAATAGATCAGCCAGAAAAACTGGCTCTCTGGCTCAACAACTTTGCTTTATGCTTTGAATCCACTCATTCAAACTTTTTTATAGGGAAGGGTTAGCAGACATAGATATATGCATCTGCTCTCTCTCTGACAGGCCTATGAATTTCCTGGGATATCGAGTGTTCTGATAGAAGAAGAAGGTTCTTAATAAAAATTAAAGCTAAAGAATCTCACTCCACATTCTTTCACAAAAAGATTGGGGTCTTGTTTTCCTGATGGGATGTACAAGTAGGAGTAGGAAGCCTTGTAGGGAACCCATGAATTGTGCTCCAAAACCAACTATCAACCCTGAAGCTGACCTGACCGAAGCCATTTCGGTGTTGCCACACAGGAGCTGAGGGATAGGGAGGCAGGATTTTAGATAGCTGGGATTTTGTAGCTGAAACAAAATACTTCTCAACAGGCAATCAGACAGCAACATGATTGGACCATGTGACTGGATTGCTTTGAGAAAATGATAAACTTTTACTTTTAATTATGTGTAAACTGTAGGAACAATCAGAGTCAGTTTTCACGAGATCTGTGCCAATATGATATATCCAATAAAGCTATTCTTTGAGGAATCTACCTGCTTTGGAGTTTTGCTTCATATGGGTGTATTGCTTGGAACCCTGTCACCAACCTGTATTAAATTTATGAGGAGTAAAAAAAGTGGTCTACGGAGTAGTACAGTTTAGAGTCATGAATTGAGAGGGTCTGCTGAAAAGTATTAATATATTGAAGCATGTAAATCCTTCCAAAATTAATATTTTCCACTGGTTTTCTTGATCTTGGAAGAGCTACATTTAAAGTGAGTCTACCTGTCTGATTAGAAATGGTTCCTTCTGGACAAGGGTCACATTGGTAGCAGCAAACTGGCTTTCCTTCTGGAACGCTTCTTTTCTCTCCTGCATGGCATCTCTTCATGCCACACCTGGCAAAGGGCACTTTCTAAAAAAGAGAAGAGAGATACTGTAGGTGGCCCCAGCAAAAAATATTCTTAATTTATTCATTTGTACATTGCTCTTTCCATCTTTAGAATGCCTTCAAAGGAAATGGCTTACCAGAAACCAGGATAAACCAATGCAATCCTGACCCACCAATGGACTCTGGAGATTGGAAAGGGGACCTCAAAATGCAAAGGAAGGTTTGTGATGTGAAGCTAAACTTTTTCTAAAAGAGAGAATCGTGAGGATCCAACTGAATGGAAATGGTCCATGGAAATCATTCTTGCCTGCATTAATGGTGTCCAGGGTTTCGAGCAGGAATTCTTCCCAATCTTACCCCATCCTGGACTTTTCAGAAGCCGAATCTCAAATGTGTTCAACTCAAAAGCATGTTTTTTCATCAAATTCCTGTATTTAACATTTTCCCAGTTTAAAGGTTGTTATGCATCCCCTGGAATGAATGAATCCTTTGCTGAATTTACAACGTTTCCTTCCAGCTCACCTTTGTGGCCCAGATGATTTCATCGGAGTTAATGGTGAAATCTTGTCCAGGCGAAGCCGTGGAATCTATTTGCCCAACTTTCATGGGGACAAAAGATTGATTGGGGAGGAAAAGCCAGTTGAGAAGATCATAACGAGTAGACACCAATCCACTTTCTGAGAAGGAGACTTCCTCTCCAGCACTGTTGTTGAACTTGATGTTCCTCAGAGAGGGGAGAATCTGAGGAAAAAAAGACACCTGGACTAATTGACTGAACACCACACATAGGACATCCTGGTTTCCTTCATAATATCATGGCCATCAGCCTAGGAGATGGGTCTATATCTGAGAAGCTAAATGAGTTCCCTTGATGGCGATCTAAGTAACATCAAATATTCAACTTCAATGACAACACATTTTCTTTATCATTGGACATTAGGAGCATGGCTTCTTCAATTCCAGCCTTACAAGAGTGATAGCTACATACAAACATTTTTCTGCCATATTCCAAATTACATTGTGTAGTTTTGCTCTGTGATACTTGGCAAGCTACATTTTTAGTTTTATTTGAGTCCATGAGAAATGCATTTTAAGAATGATTAAATAATTAAATCAACAGGATCCTTGGAGGTATCCGAGCGTGGTTGTTTTCTTGCAGATATTTCATCATCTAAACTAGGTAACATTGATAGTGATATCACTCCTTTCTAGCACTGATGATGATACCTAGTTGGGTCATGAAATGTCTGCAAGAAAACAATAAAATTCAAAGAGCACCAAGACTCTTCATTTCAACCCTGAGCTAGAATATTCTCCTTTATTGGTAAATACTCTATATCATAACTTTGCAAGCTACACTTTCCCTAGCTGACAGAGACTTAAGACAACAAACAAGGCAGTACAAGAAACGGCATACTAAAAAAATGGAGTGGACTCACAAATAATTCTAAGCCACAGTAACCAACATTAATATGAACTGAGTGTCTTTTTACAGATTGGATTCAGGCTACCTACTGAGAGAAAACTAGGAGGTTCTACAATTCTGACTAGCTTTGAACAATTGGTTTAGTTTAATTCTCTTTTTCCACTATTTATCCATTTTCAACAAAAACCTCTTACTGGTACTTAATTCAAATGACAGTTTTCAATAATTGCTATCTTAATCTTTTCTTAGATACATTTTACATACAGATGTTTAATCAGTAAATCAAGAAATGCATAGAGGTAGTTTTCTACCTAGACAACTACCTATCATTTATCTGATCTGTGGATCAGATAAAGAGTCACTGAGATTACCTGCCATGATTGAATATTTGAGATCCTCTTTCCAAGCCTCATCATGGTTGGTCCTCCTCCAGATCCATGCATTGCATGTAATGCATGTGCCACAGCATAAATGGCATTGTAGATGTGGTAACTTTCACCTTCCATGCTTGTTTCAAAAATGTAAGAAGGTAAATTTTGTAAATTCTCCATTCCTGTACATTTTTTCTCCCCCTTTGGAAAGATCCTGCCTGGATTGTCCATCATGCAGTCAAACAACCTTTCCCAACATGGAGGGAGAAAGACGTCTCCTTGTGGCTTCAAGGGGTCTAAAGACAGGAGGAAACGACTGAATTCTGAGACATCCCCAGTGTGGGGCCTAAAATGCAAAGCCCCATGAAAGGGCTTAACTAATTTTGATACATCTTGATTCCCCAGCACACTAAGTTTCCAATGGGAAGTTAAGATCCAAAGTTTCCGAAATGATGTCTTTCTCAAATATTCATAGATACCCATTACCACCTGTACATTTGTAATACTATTGGGGTCTCCAAATAGAACAATCACTTCAGCTTTAGACCAAGTCTCTGAAATATGCAGTATTTTTAACATTGGAGTATAAAGAAAATTTGATTTCAACTTTTCAGTGAAGGCCACGCAGACCTCCTTCTCCTGGAGCATTGGCGTCAGAGTTGAGACGAAATGTTCTCCTCTGTCATCTTCAGGGGCTACCAGCCCAACCCAGTTCCATTGGAAATACAGGAGCAGCTGGACCAAACCCACATACTGAGCAAATTCATTGGGATTAATCCAGAAGAAGGAAGGATAAACTCTTCTGTCTCCCTGAGTGTACTCAAAGCCAACGCCTAGCTAGAGAAAGTGAGATTTTGATTTTAAGGGTCACCATTATGTGGATTATTGGCTCATTTTGAGTGACAAGCTTAATTTCCTGCCCTTGTTAGGAAGAAGGATTATATATTAGGAAGAAGGGGTTTTGGATTTTGCCTGGTGATGATGTGTCAAAAGCCAAGGGAAGACTTCCGGTTTGGCACCGCAGGTGTCGTGGACGGTCTCCTTAGACCGCCAGCCCCGTGACTTCGTAAAAGCCGCCCTGACAGCACTAAACAGCTGTCCGGCGGTTTAAAAAACTTCTCCATCGGGAGAAGGAGGAGAGGAGAGCTGGTGGGTGTGGGTAGAGCTCCCCGTAAGCCTCTGGATTAATTCCAGGGGCTCGGAGGGTGAGAGCTCCCCAGCTGATCCACTGAAGCTCTGAGTCAGGGACGACTCTGTTCTAAGCAGAGCTAGACGTCTGCGTCCAATTCCACCTGCAAAAGTGAGTTTTACTGATTGATTTTATTTATTTATTGATTTTATTTATTATTTATTATTCGAATTTCTATACCGCCCTTCTCCTTTCGGACTCAGGGCAGTGAACAGCCAAAATAAAAGCATTTACACATAAAGTACGATTAAAAATAGATTTAAAATAATTAAATTTGGCCCATAGTTTAAAATTTATCAATTTAAAATCCATATCAAAATTTAAAACCAACCATAAAATCATAAAATCAAGAGAGACCGGCTAACTGATTTTAAAAGCGGACAGAGCGGAAGCAGGAGAACAAGCATTAAAAGTAACAAAGCTTAACTCCGAATTTACAATGTTTCAAACTGAACTTTGCTGAGCGGGAGGCTGGAAGATGGCGCCTTTGTTGTATACACGAAAGTGAAAGTTAGAATCGAAAGTGCTTGTTAAGCTTGTTAAAGCTTCGTGCTTGGAGAGTGGATTAAAGCTGCTGGGACTGGAGAGCTTTGTGGACAAAAGGAAAGCTTATTTTGCCTAACAAATTACAGACTATAAATTTCTGGAGATTGATTAAAAGATATTTTGTGGCTGTGACAGGGAACAAGATCCTGGAAAAAAAGATGGCTTCTAAACAAATTAAACCAGGAGTCTCTAAGGGTGGAGGAGGTTCTCCAATAGTGTCAGTGGTGACACAGAAAGCACAGCTTCCGGTAGATTCACAGAGTCAGGAGACTTCTTACAAAGATCTTAAAGAATTTATAAAGGAAGCCATGAATTGCCAAACTGCAGCTATGAACAACCTAACAGTAACTGTGGAAGGGAAATTAGAAGAATTTGTGAAAGAGATAAAAGAAATTAAAAATGTTGTTGAAGAAAAGCATAATGAAATAAGAGAGGATATTATTCTGGCAGTTTCAGGATTGGCAAAACACCTTGTTAAATTGGAGGAGAGAGTAGAAGAAGTTAATGATGCTAACTTGAATTTGGAACACCAAGTAGGAAACATTATGACAAAAACAGAGAAGGTGGATGATGAACTGGTTATGCTACAATATAGATCTATGGAGTTTGCTCTAAGACTGAGAGGGTTGAAAGAAAATAGCAAGGAAAATCTAAAGGATATTTGTGCTGAAGCTACGGCTGAGATAATTAAAGAAAGAGCAGAAGATGTGGCAATTCGAATTGACAAAATTTACAGGGTTAATTCCTGGTTGGCAAAACAAAGGCAGTTACCAAGAGATGTGGTGATCTATTTCACAACTAGGAGATTAAGGAATGATATTCTACGAACTTCCTACAGGAATAAGATTCAAGTGGCTGGCCAAGAACTAGTGGTTTTGAAAGAGCTCCCTCCTAAAATGTTAAGAGCTAGAAAAAACTTTGGCTTTCTGACAAATGAATTGAGAAACCAGCAAGTACAGTACTGATGGGATATACCAAAGGGATATACCAATAGTGATCTATGCTGGACAAAGACATCGTTTAAATACAGTTTGGGAGGCAAAAGACTTTTATGTCAATGTATTAAAGGCTGGATACCCACCCTCACCAGGGGGTGGGAGAAAGAAAAAGGAGATGTTACAACAAGAGAAAGATGGAAAACAGATACAAACCTATGCTGAAGCTGCAGCTGGAGGGATTAGCACAGAAGAAGAGTTAGAACTTGGGGGTCCATCCCCAGTTCTTGAACCACCTAAGAAAATAGAGGAGCCAAGAGAACAATGATTGACACGAGCAATTTATAAACGTCAAGAAGAACAACTAAAAGTGCAACAATCTCAAGACTCATCTCAAGAAGTCGAAAAAACAGAAGCAGTGGGAGGGGCCAGGCTGAAGAGTAAGATGGAGGAGGATATTCAGCATATGCTCGTAAAGCTTCGAGGGGCCAAAGATGGCAATTAAATTCTTATCCTGGAATGTTAATGGTCTAAATTCACCGCAAAAA